ATCAGTTTGACAAATATAGTGTCTAAAATATTAGCTTCAATAACACTTCGACGCCTAACTAAAGCTCGTGAAGAACAGACTAGAGAAAATCAGGCTGGTTTTCGACCTGGACGAGGTTGTATAGACCAAATATTCACACTACGTCAGGTTCTAGAACACAGACACACGTTCAGACGCCCCACAATGGTAGTATTTCTCGACCTTAAGGCGACATTCGACTCTGTTGATCGTAAGGTTCTATGGCAGTGTTTGTCACTGAAAGGAGTACCAAAGAAGTACATTAACCTTATAAAGGCTCTCTACTCGAACACAACTGGTCGAGTGAGAGCTTATGGCGAACTGTCATCAGAATTGATTACTTCAAGTGGTGTTCGTCAGGGCTGTCCACTCTCTCCATTCTTGTTCAACTTTGTGGTCGACGTACTTTTAGAGATAACACTCTCCTCATCTAAATTTCCGGGGGTTGAACTTCTACCGGGAGGTTCACTTGTTGACTTGGAATATGCTGATGACATAGTTTCATTTGGTGAAGACGCCGACAAAATTCAGAGTCTTCTCACCACTCTAAACAACAATGCGAGCATGTTCGGGATGCGATTCTCCCCCTCGAAATGCAAATTGTTGCTTCAGGATTGGGTTGCATCGACACCCGAACTAGTGATAGGGAGTGAAGTAATTGAGCGTGTCGATCGCTTCACTTATCTTGGAAGTCTCATCAACCCTTGTGGTCTGGTGTGTGACGAAATCTCATCACGGATACAGAAGGCTCGACTAGCGTTTACCAACTTGCGTCATTTATGGCGTAGGCGAGATATCCGTCTATCAACCAAAGGACGGGTTTACTGCGCAGCAGTTCGTTCCGTCCTACTTTATGGCAGTGAAACATGGCCGGTAAGGGTAGAGGATATTCGTAGGTTACTAGTATTCGATCATAGGTGTCTTCGAAATATTGCTCGTATATCCTGTGACCATCGAGTAAGTAACGCAGTTGTTAGGAAACGAGTACTAGGTAAGGATGGCAAATCAATTGATGAAGTAGTAAAACTTCATCAGTTGAGATGGCTGGGACACGTGTTACATATGCCCAAACACCGACTGTCTCGACGTGCGATGTTCAGTGGTATAGGAGTAGGTTGGGAGAAAGCAAGGGGCTGCCAGACCAAAACATGGCTTAAGTTCATGAATTCAGTGACAAGTGGACTGAGTCATGTTGGTAGGTGTAGACTACCTGGTTGGGGACCGCGAGATGATAGCAACCGATGGTTAGAGACCCTGAATGACATGGCTCAAAATCGTTTGCAATGGTGTAGGTGCATACACTCTTTGTGTCCTTCCAAACACTCATTTTCCCGATTACTGCTTATACTCTTATTACCTCTACCACCACGGGATTTGAATCGACAACTGCATCTCTGTGGTAATGTGGTGTGGCAACTCGAACTGATGTACGTACTTACGAAGTTCTACGTTGTTATTGACTGACTGAGACTATCATGGAAAACCCCCCACCTGTAGCTCTTCTAGAGTTACTGCCGGTCCCAAGCCTGGATAAAGGAGGAGGGTTGGGCATGGGGTTAGCGATCCCATCCCGTAGAAAACTAACTCGCTAAAAAAAACGCTAACCGGAAAAATTAATTCAAACTATTTAAACTCTGCCCTGGGAGTTAGGTCTTCATTTAGAAGAATTATGACGCCTCATGGCGAAAGCCGAGTTCCTTCGGAAGCCACGAGGCCGGTGCCCCTTCTAACAACCGGAGCAACAATTTTTATAGGTACACGGAACGTCCGGACAATGTGGGAGATCAGAAAGACCAGACAAATAGCAATAGAAATGAGGAGATACAACTTGGCAGTACTCGGAATCAGAGAAACTCAGTAAACCCAAGCTGAACCGAAAAATCTAGATACGGGAGAGATGCTGCTATATTCCGGTCACGAAGAGTAACATGCTCCACACACTCAGGGAGTTACCCTAATGCTGTCCAAAGTAGCACGAAATGCACTTGTAGGATGGGAATCTCACGGATCCAGAACCATCAAAGCATTATTCAAAACAAAGAAGGAGGGGATCACAATGAATATTATCTAATGTTATGCACCCACCAATGATATCAACGACGGCATCAAAGATCAATTCTACGAGCGGCTGCAGTCAATCATAGAGAAATGCCCAAGAAAGGACCTGGCCATTTTGACGGGAGATCTAAATGCCAAAGTCGGAATAGACAACACCGGATATAAAGATATCATGGGATGACATGGACTGGGAGAGAGAAACGAAAATGGGCGAAGATTTGCAAATCTATGTGCATTCTACAAATTGGTCATAGGCGGCACAATATTTCCACACAAACGTATACACAAAGCTACATGGATCTCACCGGACCACACAGAGAACGAGATAGATCATATTTGCATCCATAAAAATTCCGAAGGACAATGGAAGATGTGAGAACCAGGAAAAGAGCTGACATAGCTTCAGATCACCACCTAGTTGTAGCCAATTTAAAACTGAAGCTAAAGAAAAACTGGACAAACAGCATTACAAAGGTTCAATACAGCCTTCCTTCGAGATACTGACAAACTCAACGAATTCAAGATAACTCTCAACAACAGGTTAAAAGCCTTACAAGAAAAGAAAGGAGATCTGAGCAAATACGAAAACTACAGAGGTATCACACTATCATCAGTACCAGGGGAAGTCTTCGACAGTGTTGCTGAACTGGATGAAAGACGCGGTAGACGCCCAACTTTGAGATCAACAGGCTGGATTCCGTAAGGATCGGTCGTGCAGAGACCAAATCGCGACACTACGGATCATCCTCGAACAATCAGTTGAGTGGAATTCATCATTATACATCAACTTCATTTACTTTGAGGCGTTTGACAGTGTAGACAGAACATCACGGAAACTTCCTTGACACTATGGAGTTCCTGAGAAGATTGTCAACATTATCCTGGACTCGTACTACGGACTATAGTGCAAGGAGGACAGCTGAAAGATGCATTCCAAGTAAGGACTAGAGTCGAATAAAGCTGACTACTTTCTCCCTTTTTTTTCTGGTGATCGACTGGATTATGAAGACCTCAACATCTGAGGGTAAACACGGCATACAATAGACAGCTCAGAAGCAATTGGACTTCGCGGATGACCTATCTTTCCTATCCCATACACACGAACAGACGCAGATGAAGACAACTAGTGTAGCAGCAGCCTCTGCATCAGTAGGCCTCAGCATACACAAAGGGAAAACCAAGAACCTCAAATACAACACCGAGAACACTAACCCAACCACACTTAATGGTGAAATTCTGCAAGGCGTGGGATCCTTCACGTACCTGGGAAGCATCATCGATGAACAATGGGGATCGGATGTAGACGTAAAGGAGAGGATTAGCAAAGCAAAGGCCGCATTCCTACAATTGAAGAACATAGAATTCAAAGCAACTATCAACCAATATCAAAGTCACAATCTTCAATACGAACGTCAAGGCAGTTCTACTGTACGGAGCTGAGACTTGGAGAACTACTACAACCATCATCAAGAAGGTACAAGTATTTATAAATAGTTGTCTACGCAAGATACTCAACATCCATTGACCGGATACCATCAACAACAGCCTTCTGTGGGAGAGAACAAACCAGCTTCAAGCTGAAGAGGAAATTAGGAAAAGACGATGGAAATGGATAGGACATACACTACGGAAATCACCAATCTGCATCACGAGGCAAGCCCTAACTTGGAATCGTGAAGGGAAACGGAAAAGAGGAAGGCCAAAGAACACATTACGTCGAGAAATAGAAACAGATATGAAAAGGATGAACAACAACTGGAAAGGGCTCGAAAGGATAGCCCAGGACAGGGTTTGATGGAGAATGCTGGTGAGCGGCTTATGCTCTTCCACGAGGAGTAACAGTCTTAAGTAATCACGGAAAGCCTGAAAGCACCGGACGGCCATTCTGTCCCAGTATGTGATTCCTCAGCACTGCGCGTCCACGATCCCGCTCACGGGATTTGAACCCAGGACCTATCAATCTTGCGCGCGAACACTTAACCTGTCGGTCACTGAGTTGTTGTTAATGTCTAACTTCAACTTCCACAAAATTACACCACCGTCCACTACTGTCTTCATTGGGTAACTATCTGACAACAGGCCTGGCTGAATTCCACTGGTCACGGATTCTCACCAGAACTCCGGGAAATACCTCTTGAAGCCAATCACTGGTGTGCACATGATGATCATTATCAGAAGGGGATTGGTTGAAGTTATACATTAACACCACTGGATGTCAACTCAGTGATCTACAGGTCATGCGTTCGCGCGCAAGATCGATAGGTCCTGGGTTCGAATCCCGCGAGCGGGATCGTGAGTGCGTAGTGCTGAGGAGTCACATACTAGAACGGAACGGCCGTCCGGTGCTTCCAGGTTTTCCATGATGGTCTAGCTTTAATTGGCTCATAAATTCAACTATTAAATTAAAAGTAAAATCATTTGATTTTTCACCGAATGTTTTTTATTATCAAACTGCGTAACGGTTGGACGTTGAGTTATATCCTGTCTTAAATTTTCACCTTATCTAAATCAACCTCTGCATGTTATATACATACTTTGTAAAAATGAAGCTCGTAAGGATACACTGAACACCAGTATTATTAGATTCAATCAGCAACTAATAATTATTTTACTTGTGTTGATGACAAATTGATAACCTTCAAGTCTTTCTTTCCTCAGTTCTATATTGCTATTCCTTAGGATTCTAATCGACACACCCTTTTAAATTAAAGCTTGTAATTTTGGGGATATCACTGTCTTTAAGTTTCGCGATGTAATAATTATTAGGTGTGACTACAATAATAATTTATCCGACAGTTCAGGCAAAATGAATGATGGATAAGGAGATATTGTTAGATTATCACCGTCATTAAACGATCATCGAATTGTGACTTGGTCATGGCTTCAGCTCTTGCCTTCTGATTTTCATACAACAAATACATGTACCTATATCTGCTTGTTCAGTCGGATTATTAATTTCTATTATACATTACTTACTCATTAACGTATTTATTCCCTCCTCTGTCATTGATCATATCGTATAACGTAAGGTATATCTTTACAATTAAGGACATTGAATTGACTAGAACATTTGTCTATTAATATCACTTTTATTTTAGATTTAAGTAGCTTTCCATGTACAATGAAAAGTCAAACAAAACGTAACTAAAGTTCAACACGTTAAAGGATAATTACAACATATAATCAGAAAGGTAGTTATTATACATACTTATTAGATACTTTCAACAGCTTTTGATGTATGTTAGAACTCACTGAAAAACTTAACATTTCCTTTCCCAATAATGTGAAAAGAAATCCAGCTAGACTAATAGACATAGCAATAACGTAATGACTAATACTAGTCCCTATATCTAACCAACTACCTTCATCTTTCAACCAAACAAAAAAGTGGATAGCTATTAGGTTAGATAGTACTGCAGTCACACCAGTTTGCGCTAAAATAGAATGATATCCTCTTTTCGATTTTTGATTGTTGATAGACGATGAGTAATTGCCATTATGCAACTGGATAGCTGCATAGATCACACCCAAAAAGAGCATAGGACACATTACCTAGATGAGGGAAAATTAGATTTTATGATAATGATTATGACATATTTTAAATACCAGAATTAAACAAAACAGCAATCCATATTTAGTATGCCAATAAAATATAGTACGATCGTCTGGCGACTAAATTGGAATTCACATATTGTTTTGTAAGTATTATCTATGATAGTTAAATGTATATCCGTAACAACCCAATTAGTTATAAATAATCAACTATATAATTATTGGACATAATGCCGAGCTGTTACTTTAAAAGCTATATGAAAACACATTCCAGTTTATCCTTTAGGATGACAAACAATCAATGAGGGATTTCTCCAGTTCATCACTGCGAATGACATTGCTATCCGATCAGTAGATTTTCCAGTACTTACTGTAATGCAGATGATGTTATTAGACAGGTAGGTTATGAATTAATCATAGATATCACAAAGAATAATTCAAATATAATCGAACCTTAGGAGCGTTCACAAACAGATAGTAGACAGTGCTTCGACTCTGTTCGAAACAAATAAATAAAACATTCAAAATTTAGTCACATCTACTACCCTAGTGAATGTCATCCTCCAAATATCGTTTGACTTTGGAGCTTTATTTTAACACAATGAACAAACCAAAGCAAGACTATCATTGTGAAACAGTAAGTGCGAATTGAGTGGAAGTGTCACTACCTCTGGTAGTGATGAGAAACACTGGACTTAGGTTTCTCAGTCCAACAAGAAATTAATAGCAACCTGGATAACAATGAGAAAAGTAAAATTTCTTCCTAAAACTGCAAGGTATGCCTTGTTGACAAGTACCAGCTAGAACGATGCTTACATCTAGGATTATTTGTTGACTATCTCCAACAGCAAAACATAGTTTTTGGTAAAGTCTAATCAGGAAACTTTCGTTATCATTGTGGTCAACGGGATTTCTAATAGAAGCACACATGATGTTCAGTCACTTAAACTAGTGACACATACTGAACCTTGGTCGATAGAATATAATCAGCATCAAGGTCTAGAGAAACGTGAAATTGATCGCTATTTAATGACCAGTCAATGTGAATACAAAACCTTTAGTCACTTTCAGCAAGCATGTTTAAACATGATGTTGCAGCCGCCACCTATGTGATTCAATTTGTTGTTTTTTGTTTACCATTTAAGTTTGTACTTATCTGTATAATTTATTTGCTCACTGAAAAAGTGAATCACAATGCTGTGGAACAATCGAAATTCATTTGTTTATTTATTTCCGAATGCTGACAATATAAGCCCCCCCCCGCATGTTTCAGGTATTCGACCACAGTTGTATTAAAAATACTGCTTGCGTATAATGCAACCACTGAATATGATATTGGTTACTCAAATTAATCTTTTGTAGCCATTATGCACAAACGTTTTTGTTTTCATATGTCTTCCCTTCTAAATGACCGGAATAATCTTAGCTGAAAAGAACATTCAAAATGATCAAATTGATTAACAAATATGAGTATATAAAGAACATATAAAATTACCTTAATTAGCAAAAGAATCGCCATCAGGGCAGGATTTAATATTGTTGTGAAGCAAAATGTTGAACGTGGGTCAAAACTAAAACGATCGGAAAAGATGATTGATTTTACCGAAGAAAAATGGGGAAAAATTCGTTGTTTGACACTCAGATGCTAACTGGGGGAAGAAAGATCACTGGTTATTGATCATGTATTTTTACACAAGTTATTATCACTCAAAATAATGAAGTTCAAACAATTCAAATGACCTATATAGGAATGAAATTGCTAAAAGTATAACATAACTGTTATTATCAGAATGTGTTTTGTGGAGATTTTAGAAATTTTCACAGATTGGAATCATGAGTCAGTTGAAGCTAGACCACCATTGAAAACCTGGAAGCACTGGACAGCCGTTTCGTCCTAGTGTGGGACTCTTCAGCATCCACGACCCCGCACTACCCGGGGCTCGAACCCAGGACCCACTGGCTTCGCGCGCGAGCACTTAACCATTAGACCACTGAACCGGCATCCAACGATGTTAATGTCTAACTTCAACCAATTCACGAATTTGCGCTACCGTACACCATTTTCTTCACTGAGTTCCTATCTCACAACAGACCTGGTTGAACTCCACTGGTAACGACTTCTCACTAGAACTCCAGAAGTGTCTCATGAAGTCAGTCACTAGTGAGCAGGTGATTATTATTATCAGAATGTGGTGCGGGGTCGTGGATGCGCACTGCTGAGGAGTCCCACACTAGAACGAAACGGCCGTCCAGTGCTTCTAGGTTTTCAATGGTGGTCTAGCTTCAACTGACTCATGATTTCAATCTGTGATAACTGTTATTGTTTCATTCAAATTGTTGAAAAACATAATATACTAACAAAAAAATATTTGAAAATATCGTCCGTAAACAAATTAGAACTGAAAAAAAGTTCAATATAAATGATTCTGATGTGATAGTGCAACATATATGTACATGCGAAACAGATACAGAGACAAAAATTAATGTACTCTACTATGATTCATAATTTTAATGTGAGAATTAATAACACTATGTAATTATTCATGCGGATTACGCAAAACCGGCTTTTGAATTTACAATTCAATAATATAAAGCAAACCGCTTTAATTATTAGGTCACTGACCTTCATTGTAAGTATATAATACAAAATGCTCTCAACATGAGTCAATTTAAAGTTTGATACTGGCTACCAGTGGAATCCCGGGAACACCTTTCGTCCTATTTGAGGTTTATCAAGTGGAAGAACCCACAAACCCATTACATTTCACTTCGAACGCCAACGCCTTATCCATTGAGTTAAGGCAATCACTAGGTTGTGCAATGAAGGGTGCATGCGTCAGAACAAACTGATCATTTAAAATCCTAAACATTAACATTAGAAAAGTATGAACCCTTACAAATGCATTAAGTTACTTGAAAATGAGCTTTAGTATCTTTACAAACTTCCATTCACCTACCTGTTTATACTAGCAATATTCCCGGTACCAAAAAATCCAATTATCAAAAGAAATATCTAATTTACATATTATTAAGAAAATAACTCAGATTGTAGGATGATGGGGAAATGGTCGAAATAGAAACGATGTTGTAGTGCAATGTGTGCTACTGATGTCGACAGACAAAAGTAGTATGTATCATCAATCGAAAATGAAATACAGCAGAAAGTTAAGAAGCTCAAAGAGGACGAGAACAGAGTGATTGGTGTGGAAACAGTCAAGTTTGAGATAATCGATTAACATTTTGCAGATGAACTATTTACTGTATAGTTCTCAGATTTTACTAAGAGATTCCGTAATTTTGTGTTGAAATACATTCGGTTGTTCTCGTTCACTACGGTAGGACTGGTTAATAACCGGTTTATGATAATTTTTATTAAATTACTGTCATTGTAAACTTTCATTCAATTCACTCAGTGTTGCAATGTCTTCAAACGATGATTAGGTCAGTGTATAAGTGACTATTGAGTTGTATCACAATAGTAATAATAAACATCTAAATAGAAATGATGCCATAAAATAGTATTTTTTTACACCATCTCTATTAAGTGTATTCGAGTAGGTGTAAGTGTAAACGAGTAAATTTTTCCTGTAGAAAAAGGATACAAAGAAAAGTGATTGACGAAATCTCTTCAGGTTTAACGGACTTTCACTGCACGGATATTGATTCTGAATAGCTGAATGAATGCTGTCGTCAGTTGATGTCTCAAGATCCCAAACCTAATAATCATGAAAAAATATAAAAGAAATTAAATCGAAATTCATAATCTAACTAGTCTAATGACCGAGTTAATAATGTATGAGAAGTGTTATTTTCTTTTAGCTGCACAGTTTGATAGTGAAGCTTTAAGCCTTATTAGTACATCACAAAGAAGCGAGTTTTTGGAAGTTTTTTAAAGTATGTCCTACTTGTTAGCAAGAGTTCGAATCTTTTATTCAAACTTTGACAACTATTATGAAGAAATAATGTTTATCGTGATTGATTTGCCCTGTAGATAACGTTGTGGTGTGCGAAACAATCTATGTTCAATTGAGAATTTAACTCTGAAATAAAAATACACACAGCTGAGAATTTCCGATTGGCAAGAAACACCTGTCTTCGACTTTAGTATTAACCACGATCCAAAAATATAAAAATTGCTACATCTTCGGGTAAGAGATGAATATTCAGAACACAAAATAATTTGTATAAAAAGAAGTGTGAGATAGACTCCAAAAAGAGGAGAGCTAATCAGTGTACTTACATTCATCCAGTTTTTAAAGAAAATTACCAATAGAAGATTAACATAGATAATGCTGAACGAAATTTGATAAGATGGACCAAACTCACCCTGATATTATCCTTTAAAATTAGTGTTTTCGTTTCTATATAAAACCATAGATAGGTGACTACAGCGAATACAGCAAAGAATGAAACTTCATAACTAGTGAAATTGATTGGAAGTTAAGTAATAGTATACGAACAGACAATATAATTCATTGAAAGTTTTCAAATAGTGATCTTTTATCATTATTAGGGTGAGAATTCCTGACTTAGGATGATTGTCTTAGATTGTAAGTAAAGAAACAAAAAATAATCACTATACACCTAGCATTAAGATGAGGCCAGTGTGTTATTTTGGTACATTGATAATCGATTAACAATGAGTATAAGTCATAACTTGTGGGAATATTTGAAATAATCTCAGCGACTGAAATTTAAATAATCTCAACGTTTCGTCCAGCAAACTTATCTGGACTTCTTTAGGGTAAGTATAAGTGTTGATAGTATGTGATAATAGATATAACTACTAAGATAAAATCAATGTTAGGAAAAATTCTATGTTTGGAATAAGGTTATTAAAAACTTCTCGACTTTAGAACAGCAAGAATGAAGTTTGTTGAAATTTGAATGGGTTCTTAAAGGTTACATTTGAAGAACTAGTGATGAGAGGAGAAGGATAATAGACAAATAAGAACTAATCTTGAAGTAGAGCATTACTATTCGTTAAACAGAAGTAATATTTGATAGGTAAAGTATTTTTATACAAGCTATTTCTTGATTACATAATTTATGTTGTGATACAAACACATTACATCCAAAAGAATATTAAGCTTTAGAATTATACACTAACCCTATTAATGGAATTGCTCGCAAGGAGTGAAATAAAACCATGGCAAGCACTTCTGATAAATAGATGTTTTAAAGCGACTTATGATTGGAAACAACATTTTTTCTATACTCAGAAACATATTTGGATGGCAATCCATTGAGAAAGTGATCAGAGAAAATAAATCGTAGAACATTTGTATCGTATCATGTTCGGTTATTATCAAACCTAACTTTTGTCTGACTCAATTTTTAATATACTGATTCTTAACATCCTTCCAAAAAGCATCGATTTATAGAATGTTTCTTAGGTCTAATATTTAATGGTATTATAAATTGATGTAGTGTCTTGGTCTGGTGATCCTGTTCTACACTAGCAAACAAAATGTTGGAGTATCTGTAATAAATGAACTAACTATTCTAGTTTAGAAAGGTTAGTAATAATCAATAAATCTATGTTGAATTGTACAGGAAATCTCTACTATGATAAGGTGTATTAAAATTTGTTATATCCTAGCGAAGATTAAATTACGAGTAACTTCTGATATAGATGAATGGACTAATTGGTGACAGCAACTCCAAATTTTGTTGTGACTTTAAGTCCGGCTAGTTACCATGTAATTTATTCACCAATCAAAATACGACTTATTCACTCGTGTACTGTACGTCCGACCGGTCTGATCAGTCTAGCGTCCTATTGGTCCTCTACTCGCCTAGCCCGTCCAGTTGAGTCCAGAACACCAATAACAGCTTCCACTATGTCAATCATCTATTTCAAACATACTTGGTTTATATATCAGCCAAAGAGACCGCATCGCACCATAAAATATGCAATAACATTTATACACAATAAAGCCAAAACGTGGCTGTGAACGTGGGAAGCAGTAATTAATAAACTGACTATAATTTAAGGACAGTAAATCGTATAATAATAATAATCTATGGGTCAAAATGAAGCTTATAATAAGAGGAGTATAAATATACATATTCTAGTTACTGAACAGTTATACAATAGGAATATATCTATAATATTAGTCCATTATTAAGTCTCAGAAGTTACTCGTAATTTAATCTTTACCATGATATAACAAAATGTTTTATTTACTAGACTTTAAAAGTAAGGTTTACAAGGTCTGTAAATTTTTTAAATCGAAATTACTATAAGCAACTAGAGATCAGTTAAAGTGGGAGAAAAGGTTGGAGAATAGTGTTGTGACCCTACTAAATACAAGTCAAATAAAAGTATCCAGTGAGTGATATGTTTGTTATCGATGATATTTTTCATCATTGCTCTTACATGGCTAATTAGTTGAAACTGGAGTTTTTGAAAATTTGGTTTCCACTCGGTGTTAAAAATAATAGGATTTTAGGCAACATATTGCCTTTGGATGTCAACGTGATGATCATTGTTTCTTATTTATGTACTTACATGAGATTGAGTTATATACCATTCAATTTAGGTATAAATTATATCACATCAAATGGAACAAATAATTTCTTTTCTTAAACCTGTAATTTAGAAAAAGGATACTAAGTGCTCATTAGTAAAAGTGGAACAAGGTAAACGATTGTCCATCCAATCATTCGAGGTCCAAGACGTGTTGGAACTAGAAGGACAACTGACACCGGTAGAAGTACTAGAATGAATAAAAACAATCAAGAAGAATGATTTCATTGGGTGACAAAGGTGTCCGCTAAAGACATTTATTAAGAGTGAAATTAATACTGCATTTTAAACATTAAATACTCGCCTAAAAATTATGAAAACAACGTAACTTGCATTTGACACAGTTCACACCGTGAAAAATACACTTTAAACGTGAATCCTGAAACATCTTTGTACCTACTCTACTCACACAAACTTCAAGTTGATACTTTGGGGGAAATGAATAAGCGTTGATTTAGATTACTGGGAGAGGAGTAAATGAAGTCGTTTTACGACCCAACTACAAGAGATTTATACCAAAAGTTTTAAATGTGTGAATTCACATCAGATATAATCATATATTCGCTTTTTGTCAACGTTATAGTATTGAATTTGACTGTAAGTTTAAGATTTTATTATATCGTTTTGAGATATATTTGGTGAATGTGGGGAAATGTTGAGTAATTAATAAACGATCACTAGTGTTTTTAATGTAAGCTTAAAGTGGGAGTGAGAAGCCTAAAAGTGAAGACATAGAATCAATCCATAAAAAATCGTATTTGCAATGAGCTGGAGGCTTTTGCAATAAATACTAGGCACTTGCAGTTGAAAATCTTAAATGGTATTATGAAAAATATATATTTCATTACTACAGTTTCATATGCTGTTATCTGTCTGTTTTCTAGACTTTTCCCTTGAAAATTATTTTCAATGAAATCGATTTCCGTTTAATCGATACGTCTTCAATGAAGTACTGTTCTACACTTCGTTATGATCTTGTTTCACATTGTGTAATAAAAAAGAGTATCCATTTGCATTTGTGTATAAAATACACAAAAAATGTGCAGTAAAACAGTCAATTCGAGTAAATAAAAACTTACTAATTACAGACCAACTAAATATATGAATAATAATCTTCAATATCCCAGTACGTATCACTGAGAAACTCATTGCATAAACAGCAAAACTTGAAAGACAAATTACAAAACCCTATATACATATTGGAAGAAAAAATACGAAACATTTATTATATATATAATTAGACAAGATTAACCAATATATTTAAATAATCTAAAGATGATTTACCATTGAATCCCAGTAATAAAAAAAAAGAAAGCAAATTTCACCATTCAGTGACATTTTATGATACATCAGTAGTATAAAAATTTTAGTCAGTTGATCGGAACAGCTTGTCTTTTTGCATTATGAAATGATAATAATAAAAAATTTAACAAATACAATCCAAATTTTGTTGTTGTATTCATTTGAAATTTATCTTTAGGTAATACTTAACATGTTTACATCAAGTTGGTCACGGAGTTAGGTATAAATATATAGGAAAGGTATTAAATAGTCACCCTAATATTGAAAGGTATGCAACTTCGAACTTTGCAGAGCAGAAACAGTGAAGTGTCAGTACATTATGATCCGTGTTTGAGTTTCGAATAGTGATAAGTGTGAGATCTTTTGGTACGTATGTGTACGTGAATTTATGTGTGTGAAAGAGGAGAATCCCTTCCTTCTCTATTCTATATGAAAATAACCTTTTGTAAAGTCGATATTCTCGGTACTGTTGTGACTTTATGTCCTGCTTTTTACCACGTGATTTGTCCACCAATCAAAATACGACTTATACAATCTTAGCACTGTGCCGAACCAATGATGTTCGACCGGTATGAGCAGCCTAGCGTTCTTATTGGTCCTATGTTCGCCTAGCCCATCCACTTGAGTCCAGAACACCAATACCAGCTTCCACTATGCGAATCGAGTCATTTATTTCAGACATACTGGGTTTATATACCAATCAAACAGACCGCAACGCATCATAAAAAAGGAAATAACATTTGTACACAATAAATCCAAAAAGTGACTGTGAACGTGGGAGGCAGTAGTCAATAAACTGAACATAGCTTAATAACCGTAAATCGTTCAGTAATAATATATAGGTCAAAATAAAGCTTATAACAAGGGGAATATAAGTATGCATAATCTAGTTACTGAATATTTATACCATGAGAATATATAAATAATAATAGTCCATTAATACGTCTCAGACGTTAATTGTAATGTAATCTTCACTAGAATATAACAGTTACATTCACTCTTGTGTACTTTGTTTATTTTTGGTTACAAAGGAGATCGGTATTATTAATTTTGTTTACAATTTTGGCAATTAAGGATGGCGGAACACATACCCAAATGGCTGCGGAAACAAATGAATTCCAATGGTCAAATAACATCATAGGATAGACAGACATCTTCCTCCATCGCGAAACATTTGGTTGGGACTGGTCATAAGGTTGATATCAAGTCAGCCTTTGTAGTTTTGTACAAAAGCCTTCAAGGACATATACTAAGGTTTATTTAAGCATTGGCTATACGTAAACTGAAACCCCATTTATGTGTTCAATAATAATTTGTTCTTACCCTTAACGTACCCTAGCAATACTGATTATCCAGCGTGGTTATCACATTGTTTTTGTGTACTTTACTTTTCTTTGTTACGTCTTACCTTTAAGCTGTCTATTTAACCTTTTATTTTTCATATAAAAATGACTTAACAAGTATATAAGTGAAAAGATTGTTCGAAATGTATTGCGCAAATATATCACATAATTCTGATAACCTTGGTCTTCTCATTGCATTATCGAAATTTATCAAAGGGACTAATTGTTTTAAATTTTGGTTTCAAGCAATTCCTTGCTATTATATAATATCCTTCTGATTGTCTTAGTATACTTTTACTCAAACACTTGACTTTGATGAGTTTCATATTGCTTATTCTTGTTTGATCGTTGCTAGTTGAATTGGTTGAGTTGATTTATCGTTTGACAATCGATATATAATTACATGGTGATGTGTCATGTGTACTGCATTGCTAGACGATAAATCTTAGGAACATAGGAAACAGATAGTCAAAATTGACTCGTTTTATGAACAATACACTAGTGATGGGAAAATATGCAAACAATAGAGATAAAATATCCGGTCTGCTATGTTTGAAGACATTTACCAAATGAGTTTTGAGGATCTAACATCCCCAGCACAGTCACAGTATTAGAAACCTAGTTTCTAAGTGAAAGATAGAAATCCAATTGTTTGCACTTATCAAATACTAGTTGTATAACTAAATGTACTTTTTAAACGCAATTCAAAATGATCTGAAGAGACAACAATTTATGGACGACCTTTGAGCGACGTTAAAGTGACCTTGAGAATGTCCACCTAATAACTATGATAAAATAAGGGTTATAAACCGGTGCGAGAAATCAGAATTATGATTTACAGTTGATGGTTAGGGTTAGGAATTAGATTTAGGGTTTTCATCACAAACTGACATCAGCTAAAATGCCAAAACGCCATTTAGCTAAGTGCATGAATGAATTCCGCGCCAAAATACAAGACCTGTTATCTAATATCTGATTAGTTCGTCCATAAATTATAGCTCGCCATCTGAAGTAGATAAGATAAATGATTGACTGATTAATGTTCATCAGACTTGGTGAAATAATTTTTTTTAGTGAACTGATGACCTAAATCTTAAGAATGATAACTGAAGTTTAAAATGGAATACCACTACCTACAACACTGGTTCAATAATTTCTTTAAATTTTTCTGTGCACTCCTTCATTTATCTACACACATGTTCGTTTCCTTAGTTATACGGTGAATATTTAATTTCGTGCCAAGTTGTACCAATATTTATGTGAATCAAATAAATAAGTAAAAATTACCACTAGTTTAACGCTAACATTTGTACAGGATAGTGTAGGCACTTTTGGCTGTTCACAATATTCTGTCTAAGACATAGCAAATTGGCAAATAAAGGTTACACTTACGAACAGATAACCAAGCCATATAAAAAGATAATTTCGGGAACTTGATACAAACCGAAAGGATATAATTGACATTGGTGCAAGAATAAGACCAGTTAAAAATCTAAAAGATGGGAATATATTTTATATAAGATAAAACAGTTACAACTATACCTCTCAAATAGTGGGCACTGATATTTAAAAAAATGATAAAAAACCAAACTGTCAAAATGGTAGATTACACTATTTTACTTTAAATTTCAAATGAGATTTTGCTAACAGAAATGCAGTGTTCTTCATTACGTTTACGCTTGTTATCAACAGATACTCACAGTTTTGTTCCTCCCTCACTGAGTCATTAACACACTTATTTGATACGAAACCGTTGATTCCTTTACTTTGGGTTACTCTCCAACGACTGACGACACAAAACCAAGGTTTCGAGCTTAATAATGTTTACAGTCAACCAATCAACGATGAACGTTTTGAACAATTAACATACCCAAAACAACATGACAATCAGTTTCCCAAAACCAGTGAGTGACAAAAATAACCCTAAATAACATTAATTGGCATTTGTTAATGTGCTCTTTTATATATCGCTATTATCATTATCAATAACACAAATAAATAAAGGCTAGTAAGTCGAATTCAATTAGTGATACATACAAGTATGAAATTATTAGTAAAGGTGGGGTTGCGGTTTTTGTTAAATTTAGAAATCCGCATTACAAGCTAGAATTTAGTTACCTGAGCATTGAAAACCAAGCACGGATGGGCATCTAGTTCGTATGTATGACTTCACTGAATTTTGCATTTACGACCCCATCAAGGACAGGAATTAAGACCATTATTACCTGAGGCATTCGAAAGTCGGGGGAGGAGCATATTTTCGACCTGCTATTGAAAAAAATAGCATTCTAGACATCTGCTCTCTTCAAAATGCATCCCAGTTCCACCTTCAAGATTGATGTTATATGCAGCCGATGCCTCGAAATCACCTAATAAGTAAGGATTCTGATTACGAATAGACTGGCCTAAAAGTTTTGATCGTTTGAATAAACTTCGTCGTATATAAAAAAACAGCGTGTGCGATTGCTTTCCATCTGTAAGTTTCACAGACAGAATCGATGACAACAAAAGCTACAGCTCCGAATATTAATAAGGGGCGAAACATATTCTTCTGATTCATTGTCAGGCGATGAAAGCGAGTATCTTTCTCATAAGTGAGACTCGGCAAATGGTGATTATAGCCCACTGGCCAACTAGATACTGTATAAAAGCCTTCTATCGGCCGAACAAATAAATAGGGTCCATAAACATTACCATCAGGTATTCTATGCCACTGGATAAGGAAACTACTGTGAAACAAACATTCGTATCGCTTGAGAAGTTCTTGGTCGCAGGGGTTGACCCTTCATTTTGTGTAAATTTTATAGAAAAATAATTTGGATTATGAAATGGGAGAAAAACATATTCCTATAAGCTTTGAGCTATTCCAGTTCTGCTTCTATTGGAAATCCTACACATCAACAAATATCTATTTCGAAACCATACCAGCCTCACCATCCGAGACAAACATGGCGCGCAGCAACGCTGATAACCAGAATTCACTACTTTTATGGGTGAGATAACAGGCATTTAATTATCCGGTTAGAACAACGCTTTTGATTGATGGGAAAAGGATATAGGTGAATGTTGAGGAGGGGATATTGAAATAAATTTCATACCCTTAAAAGATTATTCCCGTTTGGAATATGATATTCTCACAACGAGTCCCACATTCAGAATCGTTAACGTAGTTGGACGGTTTGTTTGATACACAGTTAGTTATTGAGCCATGTATTTATATACCATAAATTTGATGTTTGATAATTTCCCCCAAAAAAGCTTGGACCAGACTGCCGAGAAAAACTTTAGATTTATTTCAATTCCAATCGATGAGACTTTTACAAACACAACTTTATTTTTTAGTGACTAAACTCCAACCTAATAACTGAATGTTATGAAGCTCACTATGTAAGAATCGTAGGTCATAGGTCTTGTTTTCAGTCATGGCTTTCCGCAGCTGAGTCCTAAACTAGGCCGAAACAGCTGTTTAGTACTTTCCTTCTTTTTAAGGCTACGCAGTTAACATCATTTCATAATGCAAATTACCTACAAATTTCTCATCACTGTTATTATGATTTTCACTAACATTAGGTATATGTATACTTACACAATTGTTGGATACATATTTGATCCAATGGCAGGTAATAGAGGAAATATAGCCAAACCACAACACGAAATGTGCCACAGAGAAAGAATTGACTGTGTTAGAGAAAAATAAAAATCCAAACACGTAATAATAATAATAATCAATATCAAATGTGAGCAGATAGAAAACTATTGACTTTTTCCAAAAGAAAACTGCATTAATCACTTGTTTGCATTGTTTACTTGTTAAATTTTATTGGCAGAAATATATACTCTAGTTCAATATTCTTTCTGTAAACTAAAACAAGCATAGATAATATGATAAAACATCATAGTACTACTTTCAAAATCTTTCTAATGAAGAAGAATTGGAAAACCTTCTAGGCGAGGAAGCAACTATATATACATAGTTTCTGGAAAACAAAGTGATTTTTAATACTGACAAAGCATGCCATACGTTCGTAAGAAATGGCTGGACTTCGTAAAATCTCTAAGACATAGAACGAAACCGGATCATAAACAAAATGGTATGAGTCTTCGAAATCGTAGAATTATCAAACTTTTACTAGACTCGTCTTGAACAATCTGCTTACCAATTACGATGATGACTTGCGAAATAATAACCCTTTTGAATTGACATATCACTACTATCAGGTTGATTCAAATTGACCGACATTAATGTATGTATAATTATAAGTCAGTAGATTAATAATGCCTACTATTGTTTACCTTTTTATGTGGTCTAAACGACCCATCTATGTAAGGCCATAAAGCAAACAATAAACATGCCAAAGATAGTAGATAACGATGAAAAAATCCCCAGATCTGTATTGAAGTATGAAAAAGGAACAAAAGCAGAAGAAAATAATCATTAAATATTTAATATCATGCAGACTGCCAAGATTTGGAGAAAAACGTAAGTAACTAGGAGGAAAAAGAATTTTTCCGATGTCAACCATTAGATAATAATAAGATTATTAACGTTTTAATCTGTTTTATTCTACTGAGCAATATTAGAAAAAAGGGGACTATATCTCTGTAGATATTCAGTACTGTAAATTAGTTGATCACTGAGGTAATGAAAAGCACCTTATGAATTCCACAAACGAACTTATCTTGCAGCATGAGGGACAAGTGCAGAAAGCTAATGGTGTAGAGAATCAGAATCATTTATACGCTCCTGAGCCTCGAACAAACAAAAAGGTCCGAAGTCCAATGAAGACATCATTTCAAATTTACACTGTTTATACTTAAATTCAAACATCCATGTTTTAGTAAAAATAAAATGCCAAAATCAATAACTAACTAAGGGTTTTGTCTAACCAGTTGGGATTTTCCGAAAGCAATTTTCAGGTAGTATATTACCATGGATATTAGTTCAATTTTCGCAAGAAGCAATACGTACAAAGAGAGAAGAAAACAAGAGACTAGTACTATGTAGTTTGTTTATTTTGTTACTAAGTGGTGTAACTTTCGATAGTCGCAACTTTAGATTCCACGGAACTAAGGCCATATCAAAATTAGAAATGATAGAGAAATAGAATAAGCTTTTGTCACATTTTTTAACGATGTTGAAGAAAAGACAAAAAATATCATGAAATATACATATATTAAATTATCAGTATTAGAACAGGTTTGTAACTCTTCCTTTCTTGATATTCACGATTGCATATGATAAAATCACTGTTGGTATTATGTGCATCCTGAGTGTATGCCTCGATCACACGTGTTAACATGAAACACGTATCCTTAATTACATTGCTAGCTACAATCAAGATTAAGATCAACTAAATAGTAGGTAGTAAATAGCTTAATGAGCAAGCGCCAAGTTTTAGTCTGATTAACTTATACTATGCTAACATTATACTAAAGTACTAAATGTGAACTGAGAACATATAATGTGTACCTTCATAACGCTAGTCGATAATGGTCTACCAAATTACTGAATGATTTGTATTAGTGTTGGTGTTTCTACATACTACTGTTCATGAAATTTACCTTCAACAATCATAAAATATGTCACCGATGCTCACATCATGAATATATGTTAAGTTGATATATTGTTTTTTAAATTCACATACTAGAAACTGTATACATAGATATAGTATCTTGTCCTAACAAATTAAATAAAACTGGCTACTCAGTGACTATTTAAAATAATATATTGTAGAAAAATTCATATACAAACAAGGTGTAAAACTCACAAGCATTTCAAGTAAACAAATAGAAGCAAATGTAATTGAACAAACGGTATAAAAAGATGAAACTCCATAGTCTGTCGAGAACAATCCATTCCATAAATAATTAATCATGGTTAATAGTTGTTTCCGTCGAGTTCTTGAATAGTTTAATGATAACACTAGAATGAGTGGAACCAGTTGATATACAGTAGGTCCCAATGACCAAGAATTAGCTAAAAATGATGGAGAATTTTAAAAATAGTGATTACAAAATAAACAGTAAATTGTGTGATTGGAATATAATTATGATATGACTCAAGGGATTACATTAAATAACAAGATTCAACAACGATATACGATTGTTACCCCTGCATATTATGTCATCTTGAGCCACATGAATATTAGAATACAATGCCTAGTTTTTAAGTGCAAAAATCATTATTCAATGAAAGTATAAATCATTTCCATTAACATAAAACTAACTATATTAGGAAAGTGATTGAATAATTTGGAATGATTAATCTAACAATGAAATAAACCATTATTCAAAGAACGTGGCAACATTAAACAAGTTTTAAAGTAGAGAGATTTCTATCTCATCAATTATTAACTAAAATTACTAATTCACTTGATATTGTTTTTACTTGAATCTTCCCATTGATGTTTTAGGACTGAAATTGATCAGTCTAAGTGGATAACGCGATGGCGTTTGAAGCGATTGGTACCGAGTTCGAGTCCCAGAGTGAACATCAACTCTGAGATGCAGGTACATCCAGCTGACGAGTCCCAAACAGGACGAAACGCGCGTCCTGGATTCCACTGCTAGCCACTATCCATCTTTGCTTATAAAATTACTAATGTCTGATTTAGACGCTTTCTATGAGCTCAAAATTTGATACACTTTTTATTCTACAATATTGAAACACACTTATCAATAGGTTTAATAAAATATCAAATTTATCCTATCTGATTGTTCCACTTAGACTACAGCATTTACTAAAATTAGTATTTTGATTTTACACTAATCACATATGGTAATGATTTTAGGAATTATTAAATTGAAGAACAACAAAATATAAGTGTATGATACAACTAACCAAAAGTTAAAACTAATAGGCCGAATCCAATCACAATACAATTAATCAACGTCCAATAGAAACTATTTAAATAACTTTGATAGTTTTTACACTCTACATGATCACTTCGATTAAATAAACGACAAAGTATCACTAAACTCCATAAGCAGAATGTTGATGATACACAAAATCTACATTAAAAAAGGAAACACAAATAATTTCGAAATGAACTAGAATGAATTACAAGCTAGTACAGTTTAAACACTGAATTTTTTAACAAATCAAATTAATTAATTAAATAATTGACAGAACTCAGTAATCAAGACCAGATACATGAACTTTGCTTTGTGTGAATGATTACTGATACTATCCAACCGATTAAACTGAAGCAGACAGATACAGATTTAAAACTGTGACTCAACAAAGAACTTCAACTAAGTGTCAATCTAGTCATGGTGAATTTCAAAAATTGAGGCTACTAATATAACGGATAGTTTAAGACATTTTCTCAATTTCAGGTTGGAAGAAGTCTAATGGCGGTTAAACCAAGATATGCCACCGGTCTATGAAGTCACTGGCAATTGGACTGAACCATTTTAAGAGGTACAGACTATCTGGTTAAGATCAGCGTGATTATCGTAATCAATGGTTCGAAACTTCAAATGACATGACTGAAAATCCTTTGCAATAGCGCAGGTGCATCCATACTTTGTCTCCTCTCAAATCCTGAGATTCTAGATTCCTCGCAACTTTTTTGTCTTTATTTTGCTAATTTATATTTGCTTTTCGAGCCCTATCTACGATACCTAATCTTCCCTATTACCACTGATTCTGTTCCTACCTCTACTACTGAGATTTAGCCTGACAGCTTGATCTCTCTGTGCTAAAGGGGTATGGCAACTTGAATCTATGTACATAAGTACAGTTTCTACGTTGACGGACTGACTTATTAACTGTTTAAGATCGACTACAGTGGAGCAAATTCACTCACTCTCCATCTTCCGTTAAGTTTTAGGTTTCAATAATATCTCATACATTGTATCCTCTAAATTCATCCCTCCTTCTTATGCCATACTAACCAATGGTTAAACTTTTCCAACATCAAAGATATTACTACTATTTAAACGTTCGTTACTCCTTTCCTTTATTTGATCTTATAATGTGTTCTAGAAACTCAATTTGTTGATTATAACTTAATAAATGACTCCACAAACATGATAAAACATAGGATCGAATAAAAGGTTTTCAGGCGAGTATAAAAATGATCGATTTCCCATAAACCATACTTTCAACTACTATTTATAAGTGGTATAGTACAACTATCATCCAGCTTCGACCATAAGTAAATATCTCAGTTTCCATTTGGTTGATACCAGAAGTCGTAGCTTCTAATTAGGAGTTCAGGAAACCCTTCGTAAAGTTGTTCATCAGTGCAGAATTCACTGATAAAGCTTCCTAGAGACCTCTTGTTGATCATTAAAAGGCAAGTTACAAAAAAGTGACCATGAAATACATAGAACAAAAACAAAAATATACTTACCCTAAGTATAATCTATCGTATTTATGATAATAGTTCAGTCCGTTTAAAGCCAAACTGGTTAAGTGTTTATACTTTTGAATCTAGAAACAAAGTTATGCATTATGTTAATACACTGAGAATTTTCTATCAACTTACTGCTTCATGATATTTTCCAGAAGAAATAAGAGATTCACAAGCATTTTCCATATTATTAATATCTGACATTTTTAAAGATCTGTATGTGGAGAAATAAAGAAATCTAAATTAAGAGCAATATGTAATTTGAACAGATGACTTTAGTGTTAGAGATTAATTATTGTGACTATTAATGTACAACACCCAAAAGCCCTGGTACGGCCGAGAATGGGGAGAGTCAGCTCTCCCTCTCAAAATGCTCTCACATGGCCAATTGCACACAAACACTACCAGGGAAGTCCTACTCACTGCCTTCTCGCACCATGGGTGTTGTTTACGAAATTGAGAAGACGAAAAGCGAATATCCGGCACTTTAACTGGGTTGGTGGACACGGAGAGTCCACCTAGGGGAGTTTGAAATCCCTGATTCCAAACCAATGGTGCACATGGGCTCCAGTATTCTGAAGGAACAAATGGTCTATGAACCAATGGTTTGTCATCGGCTACCATGGGACTGCATCTCCTCACGATGCTAACAGTCGGGTTCCTAATACCGGTTTCCTTAAGTCTGAACAATTATCTGCTATTACCTATTGCCGCTGCCTTTTCCATCTCTCTTGCTTTCGCTACCCACCACTGTTCACGATCATTGCGTAGACTTCTTGTCAGCTTGCACTTAAGCTGACTCCGCTCTTCATTATGTTCAGAGCCGGGTGGAATGAGTTTCTGAGCATCTATCAGTGCGACAGATGCTGCTGAGACCCAGTGTTTCTCCCTAACCTTGTGGTTTACCGTGCTAGCAGATATCACTGCTGTTTCCACAGCTTTTCGAATAACATTTCATGCTGCCTCGAGGTGAGCATCACATATATGGCTGCCTAACTGTTTTCCTAGTTGTTCGTGAAATATATTCTTAGCTTGACTATCATTAAGTAGGACCCTTAGAGGTTTCCTTGCAGCGTCTTGCCTACGTCCAGTAAGACGCAGGCGAATACGCGTTCGCACTAGAGCATGATCCAAATCTAAGCATGTGCTCCAGAATGAGAGACAGTCTTCTATCAAGCCCCTCCATCGGTGGCTGATAGAGATGTGATCTATTTCTGTCCAACGTTTGGATGAATTAGGGGGTCGCCATGTTCAAAGATCTTTTTGCTTATGCTTAAAGTTAGTATTTGCAAGAAACAGGCGGTTATCTGAGCATAGCTGCAACAGACGGTCGCCATTATCTGTTCTTTGAGCCACGATGCTATAAGATCGACCCAGGTGTTTTTCCCTTTCGCTTAGTTTACCTACTTGAGCATTAAAGTCACCGGCCACTATTACTACATCAGAGCGCCTAACTTTACGGAGAAGATCGAAGAGCTTTCTGTAAAACTCATCTTTTACATCATCTGAGCTGCAGTCAGTGGGAGAATAGGCAGAGACGACGAAGAGGCAACAACGAGTATCCCTATCTTTCCGAGTCCTTATTCTTCCGTTTAGTCAGACATCGCACAAACTACTGTCTACTGGGATCCACTCTAAGAGAGCTAGTTCTGCCCTAGTAATCAATGCTATACCTAAGCCGGCGAGGCCACAAGAAGCATCATCAGGGCTTCCAGATACACGAAGTGTGGATCGAGTTGGTTCTTTATTTTGACATGGTGATGTTAAATGAATGACGCTACTCAGATCCTGTATGCGCGTTTCGGAGACGCAGCACACATCGAAAGAGGCGAGATTCTAAAGTCTTAGCTAAGGAAGCCTGTTGTCCTATTTGGCACAGTGTTCGGACGTTAAAAGCTCCTACATGATGTTTAGAGTGTGGTTTCAGGAGACCAGGAATAGCGTTCCGCGTACTCGAATCGTTTGCCCTAGCGGTGCGAGGTGATAAAGAGACGTGAGAAGGGTTAGTCATGGAGATAAGAGAGGTGTTAGGAGGTGTAGGAAGGATTTGAATGTGACCAACTTGGTCTCGTGTGCTGTTACGGGTATGAGGGCTGATATCACTTCCCGGCTGCCCACATTGTGGAAGGGTATTTCTTGAGGAACCTGAAAAGGAAATTGGATTAGTGTTGGTCTTAACGACCTGGGAGCGTGACCGCAGAGGTTTTTGACGTGTTAGCTATGTTCTTCAAAGAGCCTTGCTGCCGGAGACGGAAATCCATGAGGTAAGGTGTGGTGTGGGCCAACCTTTTCTAACCCCTTCCTTCCTTGTGAAAAGGCAGCATCGCTGCAGATGCTGGTTGTCCGAGGGAAGCATCTGGAAGTATCTGGTGCCCCCTTGTACCAGTATTTATGTGTTCAAATAAATAATTATCTTAGTTTAGAAATTTAAGAAGTTAATTCTACTTAACGGGATTCATAATTTCCTTCAGTGCAGCAGTGGCTTTGTGATTAACACACTTAGTTTTCAACCCGTAGGTTGCAGATTTGAACTTCACTTCACCTAGTCGTGTTTCGGCAACTAGGCAGTATCATTAGCCATGAAAAAACACTGTAACAAGAAAGTAGCGCTTAATCCGAATGGTGTTTTTTTTTATCCTAAATCTAGATGGAGACATACAGGAATGATATACGACCTATTATCCGTTTGTCACGAAGTGATCATCATACTAAAGCATCAGTATCCATTTTTGAAAAATAAAGATGATAAGAGTATCAAAAATAAAAATGGTGGTTCAATTGAGGAACAAAACACGTAATAATAAGAAGTATAAGACAAAAGATATCATGATTTTCAAGATTCAGAGGAAAAATAAAAAGATGAAGAATGAAACTTTTTTAAGATAATTAAGTCCTTTGGCCATCAATTTCGAAGTCAAGAATGTAAATTTAGTACATAACAATTAGCTTAGATTTATTTCCTAGTACACTTCACTTGATATAAGCATTGTTCACTCAGTGGTTTCACTGCACTTAAGCGATGCTTGAAGGATATTTCTGACTAGAAACAATAAACTTTGGATGTTCATCGACTTCAATTGTTGTTACATAACCGTAAAGTAATGAGGACAGAAGCTCTTCACATCATCACAGGTTATATTTCAGAACTATCAACTCTTATGCTAACTACAGTTTAAAAACCTAATATAAAATAAATAACAGCACGACATTAAAAACAACAAGATTTTCGAAGCTTAGAATCTCAACAAAACATGAGTATAACGGATATTAACATCATTGTAACTGCATAAACATATACAGAGTTGATGCATAAAATTAGTGTAATCAGTTATGTCACACTTTAAGAATAAGGAATATAGATTTATCTGTTTGTTTTTACCGCTATAGATTTAGAACCTGGAAAGTGATGATTGAAATTTGAGTAGTTAAATCACTAAATTATTGTTACAAAAGTTCTGCTTCCAATCATCAGTCGTACACACTGATTTCATGTGAAATCGTTGGAAATTATCAAAACTATTCAGATCAACCAAGTTAAGAGAATGAATGAAGTGCATTAATAAAACAAAAGTTACCAATTTCGATTTAATAAAACGGAGAAGCTTATATATAACTGACTAAACAAAATGGAATATATAAACGGATACTTACGGGAATTCTCGGAACAAAATACTGAAGTGAGATTTCTTTTTTTCAGCGTACTTAATCTGTGATAATTCATAAAAATACGCAGATATTTCTGTTTCGAATTTAATAAGGCACAAACGTATCAAAATATGAGCTCCAGGAGAGACAATAAATGAATTAATATAACAAAACCATCATTATAGAAAGAAAAGGATAAAGGATGATAAAAATCTTAATTGGAGATACACGTAGAAAACATACATTCAATTAGCTTATATTGCTACAAAAGTTGTGTCCATTATATTTACTTGGCAATGGTTTTTGCGACAAAATTAAAAAAATTAAAGTAGGTGTCTAGTGCTTAAAGTAGAAGAATAAGAAGGTGTCCTTCAGCCAAACTGGTTACCTTGTATGAAAAAAAATACTCTGTAACGTAATTAAAGATTGATAGGTATTCTTTTCATATTACTGTCGACCAAGTGCATAAATTAATATGTATCTTCTACATCAGTTACATCGATAGAACACAAGTAAAGGCCTATGTTCGTTTCTATGATCACGTTCCAAGACGCCTTGGACTAAATGGAATAAAAACTTTGAGTGCTGCCTTGTTAAGAAATCTCTTTGATACACGTCGGAGTGTTAAGACCTGGGAAATCTACTAGTTTAAAGCAACTTAATGGGGAGACTCAATACTCGTAGAATTCATCATAGCATAAGAAACTTAATACTATGAGATTTAGAAAAGAAATGTTAACAATTTGTTAAATTCTTTAAAAAAGGTACCTTAAGTTGCCCATATATTTGAAGCCAGTTCGCTCGTGTTAACTTCGCTTTATCATATTCAGGAATCTTCAAAAATTCAACAGGAACCTGACCCTAAGAGCAAAAGATAAAATTTTTAGAAATTAAGCAATGTCAATAAAATGTCATCTGGAAGACACACAAAAAGTGTAATAATTAAACCATTTAAAGAAGGAAAATCGCAGTTTAGCTTATTACACATACATGTTTCAGCACGCTATAAACTAGAACGCACGTAAAATGGCATTAACTTTTTTGATTGACCTACTATAGAATTGACTGGGATTGGGATACCCAAAAGACTAGCCATTAATGGGCATAAATCAGCCTGTTGAATTTCACGTCGAAGACGTCCATAGTTATGTAGTGGTAAACCATACATGTCTATTTTATCCTCCGATAAATTATTCACATTGGTCTCTATTTCCACTGGATCAACAATACCAGAACCCCAGATTAACAAGGGTGTTACTGTTTCGTGAAAAGAACCGGCCCCATGACTTCCTGTGGAATGAAAATAATCAAGGAGAAAAATATCATTTTTCATTTAGTAACATGTCGCTCATATTAAATGTGTATGAAATATTTGTGTACATCAGTTAGTTAACGCTTTCAAAATACACTTGAAAATTCCCCTATGATAAATAACTAACGTTATTTAGCGACTCCATGAAGAAATTGTGGAATAATAACACATTGGATGTTTGATAGAAGGTCGACGTGTAAAATCAAGATTACTATTATGTTAGCTAAAAGAAGCTGAAAAACTCTCAATCTTAGTTCAAGAGATAGTTGGCAGGTGATCGAACCTGGAAAAATAGACACGGTGATTTAGATTATGGCACTAACCAGCCAGATTTTATGCATTGCATTTATTAATCACGGTCTTATTTAAAATGATAGAATACAGAATGAGGATAACGAGATCCACTAAACTTAAACACTAATTATTAAGAAGTCCGATGACTCCTCAAAATATTAAAACTTTGTTGTCCCATGTTCGTAATTTTTGCCGCCTATAAGTTAACTTGAGAAATTAATCATGATTTTCAATAATTAACTAAACACTGTAACAATTAAAAGCATTTCATTAAACCGAATCGTTCAGGGTGACAATACGTACAAGCAGGTAATGAATTTATATTATTATTATTGAGAAAACTTTTACATTTTCTCAATAAGTATCAACAAACCGAAAGTATTTGCTGTCAACGTCCGCAGACTAGTTAGTCATGCAAATAGTGATGTTCAAGTAAACTCTTATTTCCATACTTGGTAACTGACTTTTAAAGATTTCCAGAGTGTTAGGTAAATAGCAAGAATCACATCGATGAGACCGTAAACTAGCACCTATTGAAGTATCGAGGTATGTTTAAGTCCATTTTGTATTGCTGAGTTAAAGCAAGCTGAGTGAGAGGAGAATGAAACAAACTTTAAAGTGGTCATAAAACAGCATAGTACTGGACAGTGAAAACTTTGATGCATAGTCACAGCCACATTATGAACTGGAAAATTTACGGGTTAGGATAGAAGAAACCATTAAAATCAGTTGCCAGATGCTTAAAACGATATAACACAAACAGTAGAAATCGGGAGGAAACATTTATCTATCACGTCATAAATAGAGAATATTTGGTAATCCTTATATATTTCGCTTCCCGAATTCTCTCCACCTTTTAACCCTTCTAGTCTTTTACTATATATATAAAGTCTAACACATCCTTGTGGCAGTGTTATATACTGTTATCACCACCTTAAAGATCGAACTACAAATCATCTGACTTATACTGTTACATTTATTGGCTAACCAAAAAAAATAAATCATCACTACTAACCCCATTCAGTCATTCCATGATCAGAAGTTAAGATATAAGCGATACGTGAATCAGTTCCACGAGACTTTTCAGTTAACTTGTGATAAACTTGAAAGACTATATTGTCCAAATTATGAAGAACTTGAGTGTATTCATGTGAATCAGGTTTAAAAGAATGACCAACCATATCAGCTGCATCCAAGTGTAAGAATATCATTCGACCTTGACGGTAGTCACTAGATGTTGCATTAAGGTTATCAAAAAAGTCACCCGAATAATCAACGAAATCCTACAAATATATACAAAGTATTTGTAGCTGCTTGAACTGGATATATTTTGCAATAAATGAGCGGAAATTTAGTCTTAAACTGTGACTGCTCGACTATGAACACACTGAAACAGACAAAAACTGAGAAAACACATAGACGAGAACTAAATACTCGTTTGTACGCTTACGACTGTCTACGATTAAGTGAGAAATAAAGACATGTCAACTAAAAGCAATTTAGTACGCTATGATCAGTCTACCTAGATTAGATCTCGTATTATTTCAAGATATCATGAAAATATTCTGTAATACTGCAAAACAGCAATGTGGAGCATAACTACTTTTATCACTATGAGCCGGTGTATTTTGGACTTTATATATTTCATGCTTCTAATGAGTTCACTAATTATTTGACCATTAGATATAATCCAAAATATTCAAGTAAACAAACTTCATAGAAGAACGTTTTTATGTCGACTTTGATCTTTTCTTGTTGGTGATAAGAACTTCCTGTTACCGTTCCCTTTTTATTATTTTCTAGTAGTATATGGACAGTTTAAGTTCAGTGCTTGGGTGTTCTCCAGATTTTTCGGTCACGAGGATTTCGTTTATTTCACTACTCCGCTTAACGCATCCTCTAGCCCTGGTTTTTCTAATAATCTGGAAACATATGGAACTCTTAGGTCAATGTATAACGAAATATTCTACCTAAATCATATGGTCAAACAAAACCAAAATGCTTTATTCATTAAATCTCCTTTACATAAAATGACAATACGAATTAAAGTATAAAATAGTCACTTGAACCTAAAGCTTCTCACCCACCGTAAATAGCCTAAATTCCCAATCAATAATTGGATTAGGTGTAAAAGATTGATATATTTTGGTTAGTGAGGCTAAAACAAACGCTAAAAATAAGACAGTAAACTTAAAATCAATAAACGAAATAGCCGTTACACATTGCTTCATATTAATGAATACTTATATATGGAGAATTCAGCCTGTAGCGTCTAGTGAACTGATACGTGCTCAGATACCCTGTCCTTTCATTCACTGGGAAAAGAATCCAAAAGTAACATACCAGAAACTGATTGACAACCCATCGATCGATTTCAGTCGGATTTGTTTTAGCCAGGTCACTTAATTCATCAGGACAAGGAGTGGCTTTAACATGATTTGTAGAAGGAGGAACAAATGACATGACAACTTCTTTGTAACCCCATATCCAGGCTAGGAAAGAACGGTTTAGTACAGAATCGAATTCCACAGGATTCGTTTTCCATCCTGAAGGTTAAGAGCAGTTGAAAATACAAATTGATATTTATAGAGAAAAGTCGAGAACAGGATTATTCTGACAAATTTGATAAGTTAATTTAATATTGTGCAAGGAAGCGTATGGTTTAATAAAAATTCAAACTGATTCTGTCGGCTATTTTTTTATCATTCGAATATCAATTTGTTTAAGCACCTTGACAATAATTCGCTATTCGTGAGAGATTACCACTTAGGCATACCACAATGACGAACAACCGAACTAAAACTAAATGCATCTCTCCTCTACAACAGTGTTCATAACGTATGCAAACCTGAGGCATATGAAAATTGTACGTTGTTTTCTACAGTTGAAATTAGAGTATTGGCAAACTAAGGACAAACATCCCACCAATATTGAAGGTTTTTCATTTCTAAATTTTACCAACACCTCATCTCTCCCTTTAGCCCAATCATTCGTAAATGATTGACCCTTAAACATATCAATCAGTGTAACGAAAATACTACATCCACAAACTATGTTCTAAAGAACGTACGTTTGAGAATAACTGGAACGACAAACATTTACAGGACTGACCATGATTTGTTGGGCAATTTTAATCCACAATTTACCGCATAAGTTCCTTAACTAAAACGTTTTATGATTCTCAGATATTTCCAAACACGAATTAAGAAAATAAAGAAACGTTGAAAAACAACCTTTAGTTATAGAAGCCACATCTTCGTTGAATCCTCCCAACATAGCCACATGTGCAGGTCTCGACTCAGTTGGGACTCTTGTATGCGAAACGCCCCACAAACCACGGTGTAGGAGGACATCTCTATATAGACAAAATATCAAAAAAGGAATTTCGTAACTTAGGTGAATATCTGAACATTCTAGTAACCCCATAGTGTGTAAGTAGCGATCTGATTAGCGTTATAGAACACGGAAATCTAATCGTATTTCCATTAGAATCAAAATGGTTTGTTAAATTTTAATTTCTGTGTCTTCTAGAAACAATGTCATAAAGAGATTGATTAGTTCTATGATACATCACACCATAATACAATTACAGCTGATGAATAATACATAAGCACCTTTACAAAATTCTAGTTACATCAAACTTACATCTTCAAGTTGATGTATGTTGAGAGACAATAAGCATTATTAGGTGGTATTTGGGGGCGATACCAAATGCCCTGGTATGGCCGAGAGTAGGTCGGCCCGCCCTCCCTCTCGAAATGCTCTCACATGGCCACTTGTACACAGCCACTGCCACGGAAGTCCTACTCACTGCTTTCTCGCACCACGGGTGTTGTTTACGAAAATGAGAGGACGAAAAGCGAATGTCCGGCGCTTTAACAGGATCCAAAACCAATGGTGCACATGGGCTCGCGAAACGTCCCGCTTATAAGCACTGGGTTTCTTCAGACTCCTTACAACTCATTGAAGCCCGTCAGTCTATTCCGAGTGACCGTGAGTTTGACCACAAACGACGACTGTTACGTAATGAAATTGAGCGAAGCTTGTGTAAGGAGCGAGAAACTTGGTGGTCGGAGCGTGCTAATGAGCTGGAAGCAGAAGCTGCATCTGGTAACTACCGGAAGCTCTTCCAACTCATCCGGGCCACTGGAAGCAAAAAGTCTGGTGTGAGTGAAACAATCTGTAAGGATGACGGGATACCAATCACTAACACCCCTCGGCGTCTTTGATGATGGGCATAATTCTTCGAAGGGCAGTCCCACTGGTCTGCTGCTCCGGCAACATCGGTCAGACTGTCCCGCCCTCCATGGCCGGTGAAGACTGATCCACCAGATGGTGCGGAAGTCCGCAAGGAACTCCAACTCTTGAAGCGCTAGAAATCACCTAGCCAAGATGACTTCCCTCCGGCCTTTCTTAGAGATGGTGGTGACTTTCTGGCTAAGGAACCGACTGTGTTGTTTACAAAGGTGTGGGAGTTAGATAGTGTACCAACGTCATGGAATGAGTCGATAGTTGTCCCTATCTTTAAAAAGGGTTCACGTCGTTCCTGTAACAACTATCGGGGGATAAGTCTACTTCCGATTACGTCCAAACTATTGGCTTCCGTCATACTTCGTGAGTTGTTCAAAACCCGAGAAAGATTGACTCGTGAGGAGCAGGCTGGGTTTCGTTCTGGTCGAGGATGTATTGATTATATCTTCAACCTCCTCCAAATGTTAGAACACCGTCATACTTATCAAAGGCCATTAATCGTTGGCATAAGGGCTGCCTTCGATTCGTTGGATAGAACTGTTCTCTGAGATTGTCTATTGTAGAAGGGTGCGCCTGAGAAGTTTATTTACAGCTTAAAGGCCCTATATAAAAACACCTCAGGTAAAGTGAGGGCATACAACCATCTTTCTTCATTGTTCCACTCAAGCAGTGGGGTTAGACAGGGTTGTCCAATCTCACCGTTCCTTTTCAACTTTGTCATCAATGACATTCTGGAAACAGCTATGATGAATGTAAGTAATGGCGGTGTGGATCTGTTGTCTGGAGAAAGACTTCTCGACTTTGAGTTTGTGAGTGATATTGTCTTACTGTGCGATAATGCCCAAGGCATGCAATCCGCACTTAATCAGTTAGTAATCAATGTCCGTAGGTACGGCATGTGCTTTTCACCTTCGAAGTGCAAAGTACTTCTACAAGACTGGCAGGATTCTAATCCTATACTGACAGATATATTTGGTGCCCCCTTGTACCAATATTTGTGTGTTCAAACAAATAAATAAATAATTAATTAATTAGGTGGTATAGACGGGAACCTTTTGCATAAATGACCAAAAACTAGAAAATATGAAAATTCTTAGAAAGAAATAAGTAAGCGATAGAAGTCCTTTCAGCTTGTTTTGGTTTCGTACGAACAGGGTTTTAGTATGACAAAAAGTATATGTAGTGGTAAGATTTTCACTGTTATAAATAAAAAAGAAAGTATGGTAGTTATGTGATTTCGCATGTTTACACGATAACAGTATTGATATTTTCATTCTCAAGATGCTTATATATTTGTGAAATTTCCTAGGCGAAAGAACTATTTTAGGACAAACTAATAGAAATAATAACAAAATACTGCAAACCCTGCCAATGGGAACTGATAAGCAGTTTCAATAAATATGTAGAATTGATGCTTTGAAAAAAAGCACACATTATGAAGTTAATTTATAGCGATAAATGGACATCTTGAGAATCAGACGTCCGAAAGATTCATCAAGTTGGTAGACAGTTTGCGTTGAAAGTGAGAAGTGGATGTAAAAAACCAACTGGCTTTTAGCAATATACTTCCCCTTGACATTAAGCAATTGCGTCAACCGAAACTAAATGAAAATCGTCGTAACCAATAGAAATGAAAAGTGACTTTTAGATGCAAAATGCACAAATGGATGATTCTCTGTTGGTATGAGGATCTTAAGACTATTTCGATAACGAATTTCAAAAATATGAGCTACGTTTCAAATTATTACGGATCCACGAATGCAACCATAAAGCTGAGTTCCTCAAACCCAAACATGAGAAGACTTTTATAGCATTAAAACGTAACTCAAGCTTATGTAGGTCACAATATCCTTTTAGTTAGGAATAACGAAACTAACCTAAATTATAGGTATAAGAAACAATTTTGTGTTTAAAGTTAGTTACATGCGTGCGTATATTCACAGGCTACACTTCGTTAAGCTCAATTAAGAATTGAGTAAACCCTTTTTAACTCGTTTCTTGAACCATTTGGTTACTTCTTGACCAATAGTTCCTGTACTGACCAGGAATATATTCCTGCACAGCACAACGATAAAAATGTCTTATTAATTGAGTCTATCTTTATTAATAAGGAAGAATGTCAAACGATTTGAAAGAAAAACTATCAATGAGTTAAGATTTTGAAAGAGTCACCAGATTACCTTAAAAAAGGAGTGTATTCCATATCTTGACTGAATATTTTGTCTGCTCGAAGCCCATCAGAAACCATGAAAATGACGTGAGTCGTGGGAGCACTAATATTCAACGGGACGATATTCATACCGTTTGTAAGTGGAGATGTATAATATATGTCGAAAATGGAATAGAATTGTACTAAATTCATGACAATAATGCCTAAAACCTCGAAAATCTGAGGCATGACCTTCGGCACGAATCGCCGCCTTGTTTTTTCACGATTTCGGACACGGCAAAAGCGTGATGCCCAAATGGTTCAAATGGTTGTGGACGGAATAGAAGAAGCTTTCGCTTAACAGGCTTCCGTGTCTAGTAGCAGGGGATCACCAAATCCTCCAGGCAGGAACCTAGGTATGTTAACAATAAAAGAGGAAAAGAAATTGGTAAATCATAGTATGATACTGTCCTTGGTCCTTAAGAATAGGTCAAGTTGCCTCTTGAAGGACTCCTGAGAAGTCGCTTGGACTAGCTCGGCCGGCAGCGAATTCCAGCTTTTGACAACTCTTAAGGAGTAGAAGTTGTGTCTACATCCCGTCTTGCTATATTGAGTTTCCAGTTTCTGGGTGTTACCCCTTAGGTTATTATTCGAACTAAGCTTGAGTAGGTGTTTAAGAGGATGTCCAGAAGTGTTAAGAATACTATAAGCCATTAATAAATCACCTCTAAGACGCCTATACTCTAATGGGTAAAGGTCTAGTGAATGGAGGCGTTCTTCGTAAGGCTTAGATTTGAGTCCGCGAACTGATTTCGTGGCTCGCCGTTGGATACGCTCCAAAGTGATCTTGTCCTTTTGGAGTGAGGGGGGAGTACTTTATTTCCGTACTCTAAATGGGGACGGATAAAACTATTGAAGATTGTATGGAAAGTTCTTCCGTCAAACTGGCCAAAAATGCGCTTCAATGTTACCAGTGCAAGGTTTGCTCGGAAGGCATTTTTGTCGCAATTAGCGTAAGACTTTAAGTTATGGGGCACCAGGACTCCTAAATCTTTTTCGACTTGGGATACTACTAGAGAGGAATTTCTTAAGTTATAACTGTAGTCTGCGACATGTCGCAGATGGACTACTTTACACTTTGAAGTGTTAAACGTAAGTCCGTTATCGTCTGCCCAACTTTGAAGTCGAGTCAGATCCTCCTGAAGCGCCTGTGTATCGTCTTGGTTGCGTATCTCTCTCCAAAGTTTCACGTCATCGGCAAAAAGTAGTAAGTCTGACGTTACCTGTTGAGGAAGATCGTTTATGTAGATCAAGAAGAGGAGAGGCCCTAATACTGAGTCCTGGGGAACCCCACTAGGACATTCCATAGCCTGAGATAAAGTGAAATTAACCCTAACCTTAAAGTGTCGATTTTCTAGGTATGAAGTAAGCCAATCGATTAGAGGTGGTTTGATACCTAGTCGTTTGAGCTTATTGATAAGACACAAGTGGTTAACTTTATCAAAAGCTTTTGAGAAGTCAAGGTATATGATATCAACCTTTCCCTTGCGATCGAGGATACTTGTCCATCTGTCCACCGCAGTCAGCAGGTTGGTTATACAAAAGTAACCCTTCCTGAAACCATGCTGTTGGGGTGAGAAGTTTAAGGACAGTAGATAATCGTTTAAACCATCGCATATCAGGGACTCCATGAGTTTTGAAGGTAATGACAGAAGAGCCACAGGCCGATAACTTGAAGGTTCATTGCGTCGACCCCCTTTGAAAATTGGTGTGATGTGAGCCAACTTCCAATTTTCCGGTAATTTGCCTTGGCTTAGCGAGTGTGAAAACATCACGCTAAGCGGCGTTGCCAGGATTGAGGCTGCCTCCTTCAGTATGGCAGAGTGAACCATATCCGGGCCAGGAGAAGTATCTAGTCTTAAGTGCTGCAGTTTCCGGAACACCAAGTCAGCGCTTAGGTCCACTTCGGAAAGCCCTGTGGAATTACAGGTGAAACTGTTGTCAATAGAGTTGATGTCAGCCGGCTGAAATGTTTGAAAGTAGTGTGCCGCCAGAAGGTTAGCGGCGTCACCATCGTTGTTGGTTGGGCCGTTAAGACCTAGCAGTTGAGAAACTCCTGTTTTGGCTTGACGAAGAGAGGCTGCATAACGGAATAGGCTTCTAGGGTTCGAGGCAAATTTGTCCATAAGCTTTGTCTGATAATGAAGCCTGTCTTCTCTTATAGCCTTCGTGCATATGTTCCTGATATGTTTGAATTGCCTATACGCTCCGTCGTTGTCAGTTCGTTTGTATTCCGCCCAACAGTGCCTTTTACGGCTTAGCAGGCGAAGGGTACGGTTCTTGATTATTGTAGGTGGCTTACAGCTTTTGGGAACCGTTTGAGGAACTGAATGGTTTGTAGCACATAAGAGCGTGTGCAGTAAGAAGTTCCAGTGACCGTCCACATCGAGTTGGGGGTGAACATCCCAAACCACCTGTTGTAAATAGTCGTGTAGAGCTGGCACATTCAGCCGTTTAAAATTCCAACGCAAGTTATTGTTGGGATACCTTAGCTTAGTTTTGGTGACAAAACTGAAGGCTATGACGGCATGATCGCTCTTTCCCAGAGGAGCCAAGATTGAGAGGTTGTCAACTAGGAATTCTTCGTTTGTGAATACACAGTCTAACCGCGATGGTGTCTGACTGTTTCTCCAACGAGTTGCCGACCTCACATTTTCATATAAGCCCAACTCATCGATGAGGTTGAAAAACCGAGCTTGAATTGCGTTGTCACCTCCAGTATACATGTGTTCCACGAAGTTGACTCTAGGAAGGTTAAAGTCCCCTAGAATCTGGATTTGTGTGAAACCGAGACGGGTAGAGCGGGATAGTCCATCCAGCATACGACTATCGTACTCGATGTCAGCAGTTGGCTTCCTGTAAATGACACCGACTAGACACCTCGAAGTGCTAGACAATCTTACAGAGCACCATATGGATTCCTCAAGGTTGTTAAACTCGAGGTTGTGAACTTGGTGCACCTCCAAGCAAGAGCTTATGTATATGGCTACTCCACCCCCAATTCCTTTGTTCTGTCGTTGCGGAACAAAGTCATCCCTGGTTATGCTAACTCTTGGTCCGAGAACTGAGAAGATATCCAGGTTTCAGATATTCCTATCAGGTTGGCTTTATTAGCGTTGCAAAGTTTACGTGATTCATCCAGTTTGTTTGGTAGACTCGAGGCGTTCATATATAAGCAGTTTATGCTTTCAATTTGAAACGCGTGAGCTTCGTCCTGTTTTTCTGTATGAGCCTTATGTGAATGGACAGGTAGCCCACCCATATGAGGTTTACCGAGGTGGTAGGCCCTGTCCTTTACACGTTTTTTTTATCGTTTAGACAATCCACAAGTGGAATGTTCAGCTCCAACTTGCCTTTGTGCTTGGTCCTGGCTTCATATGGCCTGTCCGGGTGCAAGTGGATTCCAGGTGTCAATCGACGTCTGTTGGCACGAAATGCTTCCAGAACTGCAGCCGCCATGTGGGAAGATGGGAAGGTTATCTTCATTAGACGGGGTCTAAGATCACCGTCCTTCTTGGCTAACCTCGTCACATGCTGAGTCAGTATGTGTTTGAGCCTCAAGGACTGTTCGATGAATTTCCATTCCCTGATGTCAGAATTTGATTGAGTAGGGTCTGCATTCTCCGGTATACCTTGCACAATTATGTTTCTTCCGCGGAAAAACTTCTCACGAAATTCTTTAGGGATGTGACGTATGATATTGCGCTCAGAGAACGGTATGCCGGGCAATAATCGCCAGTTAATTTCCGTACAGCAACACTTGGGTTGCTCGGCTTAGGCGGTGATGCCTGGTTCTTTTGGGCTTCCTTAACTTGGGTCGAATCACCTACAGGGTTTTTGGGAACCACTGTTGAGTTCAGGGACCCTGAGCTGGGAGGCCCGAGTCTGCTTAGGGAGTCTAATACCGTCGACGTAATGATGGTGCTGAGCCTCGACGCGTCATCATTAGTGTTGATGGATGCTCCATTGATCGTATACCTATCGACATCCCTGTTTTGTGTCCGTCACAAGCTCTTGTTTGTCTACCGGTTTTTTTACTATCGTTGTCCAAGTTAGCTGACAACTTGTTCCGAAGACCTGTCAGTAGGACAATGATGTTACTCAGCAAAACTACAGCATCCGTGCTGCACGTGACACATACCCATTTTTGGTCTGACTTTCTGAGTCTGTTATAAGCAGTTGATGTCAGATCTGTGCATGCTTCGTGCAACCAACCTTTGCAGTTGTCGCACTGCATGCCAGTTGCAACAGCAAAACGGCATCACGGACGTTTGCATGAGTTTTTCATGACTATGTTGAAGCAAACTATGTTAGATATGCTTGCAAGAGCCTAAGACCTTTAAAAAACACTAAAAAGCACACTGAAAACGGACAAAAATGGATAAAACGAGTGTTATAAACTGAAACTAGTCTATACGTGAAAAACAAAAACAAACCGAATAGTAAACTGAGGCAAAACCACAGGTAACTATTAAATATAATGAAACTCAAAAAATAGTAATCTACCGAAGGTATAGCTCAGGATAGATTCTTTAAAACTGAAATGGTACTTTTGTTGCGTAAGAACACAGAAAAAGTTTGATAAATGCAAATCACGTTAGTACTACACTTCCCGTTCGAAAATGTCAACCGTCCATTCCTCAATTTTGACAAAAGTGAAATACATATAATCTTTGAGACATTTCGGTTCATAATATACATATATATGTTAAACATAGGTATATCCTTCTCGTTGATGTTTTCAGTGAGGTTATCTGAATCTATCCACATATGCCTTCGGCAAACACAACATTGTAGCACATCTCAACTAACTGGATTAAAAAGTAAATACAATGAAATTTTGAGTTTGAAGAGAAATCCTTGGTGAAACATGTGCTCGTATGCGCAGTACTTAGTCAGCAAATGATCAGAGAAACCCGAAATATTCTGAATACATCACCCCTTCAGCCCATCGAAAACTGGATGCGATAAGAATTCACGGCCATACATTAAGTCTATATTTGCTTTAAAAGTCAACTCCACTTGTTTACGTAAATTTCACGTTATCTTGTTTATTTAAATCGTTATAAATAAGCAGTGGAGTTCGTGTGCACCTTATTACAAATTACGTTCACATAATTCCCTTCACTGTTGCATTACAAAGGCACTTGTGTTAATCACGATACCAAAATCTTCCGTCTGCCTACAATTTTCAGAATACCTAAACACTAGTGAGCAAAC